ATATTTATGTGCACCACCAGATATTAAAGGAGTCTCAAGTGAATATTTAGTTAAGAGTGGAGTCAAATGTTTTGCAATTGCAGAAACACATAAATATGGACATGTAACATATTTCTGGAATGGAAATAAATCAGGATACTTTGATGATAAATTAGAAAAATATGAACAAATTAAATCTCTTCCAAATGATCTTACAGAAAGTCATCCAGAAATGAAAGCTAAAGAAGTTTGTGATAGATTGATTGAAGTTCTTGAAAGTAAAGAATATAAATATTTAAGAGTTAACTTTGCTAATCCAGATATGGTAGGACATACTGGAAATATTCAATCTGGAGTTAAAGCTGTTTTAACTTGTGATGAATGTTTGAAAAGACTTGATGAAGAAGTTAGAAAACAAAAAGGAATTTTATTAGTTACAGCTGATCATGGTAATGTAGAAACTATGCTTGATAAACTTGGAAAGCCTATGACTTCACATACATGTAATCCAGTTAATTTGTTCATTAGAGATTATGATTATAAAGGAGAATATGTTATTGATGAATCAGTAGAACATCCAGGATTAGCTAATGTTACTGCTACTTATATTAATCTTCTTGGATTTGAACAACCATCATTCTATAAACCATCTCTTATTAAGTTCATTTAAGAACAAAAGATAATTGAAAGAAAAAGAAGGAGGTTTAATTTTGTTAAGTTTTAAAGTTTCTATTTTTCATTTTATGAAGAGAAATTAAAGATAAATAAAGTTTTTTTTCACTAATTAACGTTGTTATCAATTATAAGTTCTATTAAAGTAAAAAAGTTAAATGGAACTTAACAAGAATTAAAAGAATGATTGACGACAGTAGTGTTCAAACAATATTTAGATATTTACCACCACAATATTATCTTTCTTTTATTGCAATTAATAAAAGATATCAAAAACTTATTGAAGAAAAAGGAGATATGATGATAATTAATAAAACAATGATTAAAATGAAAAGAGTTAATACTTTAACAATTTATGGAGGTTATGAAAATGAAACATTACCTAATAGTTGTAATGAATTAATTTTATTAGGAAATTATAAATCATTTCAAGTTAGTAAATTAATACAAAAATATAATTTAAAGAAATTAATTTTAAATGGAATTGAATGTAATACAATGGCTGAATTTAAACATATTAATCAATTACTTGGACTACAAACTTCTTTAACTAAACTTCAATATTCTTTTCCTCCAACTGATCCTTCATTATTATATTTAACATCATTACAACATCTTCAATCACTACATATTCGTTTAATTCCTCGTATTATTCCAATTATTACTAAACTTCAATCACTTCAGTCATTAACAATTAATTTTGGAGCTCAAAGTATTGTTAAAATTACTGAAGATAATAATGGAATTAATCCTTTTAATTCTCTTTCTGTATTACTTGGTTTAACTTCAATGAAGATTGTTGCTGATTCAATTAAACAATTAAATTCTTTAAGTGAATTAACTAGCATTAAAAATCTTCATATTTTAGATCTTCTTGAAGTTAATATCTCTAATGCTCCTAAGTTAATATTTCTAACAAAATTACGTCATTTAAAAACAGTATTTTTACGTGTTAAATCACCAATTACTTCACCATTAGATTTAGCTACTTATCTAAAGATGCCATCTATTTTTAAATTATCAATTTCATCATTTAATCATGACTTTGAAGCATTTAAATCTTTTGAACCAATAGAAAAAATTTCTAAACATTGTTCTGGTGAAATAGATTCTATGACTTTTTGGAGAAATACTTCTCAATTAGATAAAGTATTGCCTCTTATTAATTCTATGTGTGTAGTTAAAAGTTTAAGTGTTACTTCATGTCCTAATATTTCTAATGTAGCATTAAATTCTTTTGAATTGGAGTCTTTACATTCATTAACTATTTCTCAATGTCTTAAAATCAAATCACTTGACTTTTTGAATAAATGTAGTGTTTTAACTTCACTTGAATTAACTAAAATTCCATTTGACCAACTTTCTATTCTTCAATCTCTTTCTACTCTTTCCCTTCTTTCTCTTTCTATTGGAATGATTAAAGAATTCGATTTATCTATTCTTTCTTCTTTGCATTCTCTTCTTTGTCTTTCATTCAATACAATACCTTGTTTAAAGAATTTAGAAAAAACTCCTCAATCAATCATGAGACTTAATATTGAAAATTGTAATGACTTTTGTTTGTGTGACATTTGTCATTTACCTCATTTAAATGAACTTATTTTGAATTCAATCCCATCATCTAATTCTCTTGTCTTTGTAAGTTCTTTAAACAGCTTAACTCGTTTGGATATTATTGCTTTGAAAGATTGTAAGTTTGGAAACAATGAATTGTTTGGTATCACTGGAAGTAATTCATTGCGTGCTCTTGTTGTTAAAGATATTCCAACATTCACTATTGATGTTATGAATATTATCAATGAAGCACTTCCTAATCTTAGAATCATTGCTTGACTCATTCCAATTTTTTCTTTTATTTTTTATTATTCTTTTTTT